TTAACTACTTTGATATAGAATATTTCATAATAATGGTAATAATCATGGTAATAGTAATGGCAATGTAGTAATAGTAATGGTAATAATTATTTCAAATTAAAAGTTAAATGAAAAAGTTATTAAACCGACGCAATCCCACAGCCTAAAAACACACACACCATATGTGGAAATTACGTCGTGCACGATATACTAACACAATGCCAGCCGCTTATTAATTATTATTCTTATGATCTAGGTCATCGTGCCCATTGCCTCTACCCATCCAAGTAGCACCTGGGCACGTGAATGGGCTTTGGCAATAAACACGGAAGGGGTTAAACCTGAAAATCCTGATCTACAAACATGATTAGTACATAAACATCTAACGGGCTAATATTTCACTATTTTAATAAAAGTGACTCGACTTTGTAAATGTAAAGCTTTAAGAACAAATACTGAAAAGCAGAATAGAGCAACTATGACGCAAACATGGTGCACTGCTAATATCAGCTGGCAACGAAGGGTCTCACGCCCCCTAGACTTACGCCAGACGCTACATACCACCCACCCCGCCTGGACGTCGTAACGCCAGGACAGAGTGCACCCCTTCGCTAAGAGCGCTACCCGCCCGTCCAACACGTTGCATCCAACGGTGTCAGATTGACGGACGCCCATAGTATAGACAAAAGGACTACAGTTTAGAATATGGTAACATATTTTCATATGTTCCGTATTCTAAAGCTGCGCCTGCAAAGGCCTAGTAATGCATGGGTATATCTCCCAGAGATGGTGTTCACGGTCTTATGCCGCGGAATCCTTGTAACTAATTTGATTAATTAAATAATAAAAAGGATTGAGTTTAAAAACCAAAAGGATTCCCACCGAATACTAGTCAGTGCATCGTCATATTTACTCTCGCAACACTAATTTAATAAAGGCAAAACTCTAATAAAAAGGAATTTAATGTCAAAATTGAATGTGATATTTTATTAAAAGCAAAATGACTAATTAAGAATTCTTTACAATGAAAAAAGAATTTATTATGAAAATTAATAAAAAATTAAAACATCCTCGGGCGACTCCCTCCTCAGAGTAACTTTTCAAGAATACGCAAAATGTGTTGAAATAGATCACTCTGACTTGGAAATCTACCCGTCACGAATTGTCTTCTTGCACATAAATTGTTCAATTTTACATGAACGTGTAAATAAGCTAAACTTCGCTATAGAAACTTTACTAGTTGTACAAAATTCTCATACTATATGTGAATTTACAATCTACAAAATGTGATTAAATTTATGTAAAAGTATCATTAATATGTATATCCAGTATACATATTATATAATATTATCAATATTATGTCGATTTAAATCGTATTTGACTTCTTCATTATAGAAAAACTAAATAAAATTATTTCAGTATTAAAATATTTCATATTCCAAGTTTCATTATAAAATTGTAACATTTAAAAGCATTCATATATTTCATAAATATGTATTGGAATATGTGGAATAGAAATGACATTTAAACGCGAAGTACAAGAAAACCTAGCCTGAACTAAATGAAATGAAACACAATAAAAATGTTACTACTCATGGGTATAATCATACCCATGGTCACTATGCTCGCCAACCAAGTATACAACCGGTAACCCGTGTCGATTCGGACCATTCGTCCTACGACATGATTGGGCACCGGAGGAACCATAAAACATGCGACTCACCGTTCGCAGATATACTCTTCTTCCAACAGTCAAGTAGAAGGATGCTCAGCAACCAGGTAGAAGGCTGCACAACAACTAGGTAGCAGGTTGGCTGATAGAAGAAGACGGAAGTCGTGAAGGAAATCATCAGCCCAGTCATCAGGGTGTTCAGGAACTCGGCAACATTTAGAAATTCATCTGTAACAGAACAAAAAAGAATTATGGTTAATTATGAAAATTATCAACCTTTATTCTTATAAAATTATAGATGAATTTGAATTTTATAAAATATTAGCAATTAAAAAGAACTCTCAATTATCAAGTGTCGAAATTGTAAATTATTCTATTTGAATTAAAATTAATTAAATAAAATAATAAGATACTTACACTCTTTCCTTATGGAGCAACGCCCAAGACTCCTCTTCAGTGATGCTCTGACTCTAATACCGGATATATCGAGAAATTGAAACAAAAAAATTAAAAATAAAAATAAAGATATCAAGTACTAGTAACGCGACCGTGAATAATTTCCGGCGAACAAATGTAGAGACTCTACCTTCGCGGTGTAAAAAGAAAAATCAGAGCCGCGATGCTCTAGAAAATATTTTATAATACGCAACAAACACTGACTCTACTTTCGCGTGATTCCTAATTGTACAAACGCAACTCTATTCAGGGCCAGTTCACCCTTGAAAAAATCAAAACATTGGAACTACGTTCGTACAAACACTGACTCTACCGACCGCCTTGCGCGCGGCCACAACAATTCCTGAAAGAAAAGATTAGTGAGGTTGGGGATGGGTGGAAATAAATAAAACCAAACAAACATTCTTCTTATTGAACATTAAGGAAATACTGTTATGTATAAATGGAAATATCAACGAACATGAATATTATTGAAGTTGAATATTGATCCTAGATTATCTCGTAATAACGAAATGTATTAAATAATTGTTGATAATTATTCCAATGAATATTACAAGGATAAAAAATCATTGTTGAATACATATAATAAACTATTTTATTAAAGCAGTGGATTTTTGTTGTTAAGATTGTAAGCATATTTAATTTATAAATTATCTAATTCTTTTCAATAAGCAAAATCCAATAATTAATCACGCTTAAACAGCATGTGATTTAAAAACGTGATTCTATTTTAATTTAAACTTGCATCGAAAACTGGATATTATAATATAATTACTACGATTTAACAAAAATAGATTGTTTAAAATAATTAATAATTACAGAGGAGAAGCAATCATTTGCAGTAGAATACGAATTATTTCAATTTTGTTCTAGTTTAAAACAAATATATTAAAATACTGGACGAAATTATTTAATAAAATGAAAAATTAATTATTCTTTTTCTATGAATTGGTTAAAGAAAAAAAATGTCTCTAATTTTTTCTTTCTTGACTTTGGTAGCAAGTAATTATCAAAAATGCTTACTCAATTAACAACAACTCAATAAAAAACAAGTAATAATAAATGTTAATAATTGATTAGAATAAATTAAAACAATAAATTCTTACGAAATTCTATTTCAAACCCATATTAGGTGTCTTGGCGTCCTTTCAATATCCATCAAATATCTGTAACAAATAAGAAATACGAATTTATGTAAATAAAATTTAATCAACAATAATAAAATTATTACTAATAAACGGTCGAACTATAATTTATGCAAAATATTTTAATAGGTAGAATGCGCACCTACTTCTTATACGGAAGAATGCTCTCAACACGTCTTGTCACTTGGACGTTCGCGAAAGAAATGGCGAGACCTTCCTTCCTGCCGAAGACCGATCAGCACCGTTCGGTATTATTCGGTAATGTTCGTCCCCAGCCGAACCGAAGCCGGTAGATGAACAGATCGCATAATATTACGATGCTCAAGAAAGAACGTTATTAAATATCAAACAGTAAATTGTGTGAAAGAATATTAAAAACGTTCAATATTGGTTAGGAAATTAACGATATAAAAGGGAAAGTAATTCAAATTTTGCTGTTCCAACCTCATTGTACAATCGCGGCAAGAGCACAAATTTTCAACTCTTGTATTTTTGAAGAAAATGCCGAATTACTGTCAAAGATCAAGAATCTAGACTTCTCTTCGATGGTTTTTTCTGTTTTTTGTACTTTTAACACCCGATCGGCAATTTAATTTAATATTTGAAGATAATTTAATCTTACCTGTTGCAAACACGTGCCAAACAGACGAAGCTTCGAAGAGGACTGTTGCACTCCACCACACTCCGCGCAACGCACCCTCTAACGATGAATCTGATTGGTCCAAATAGAAGGACGCCATAATGGATGACCAATCACAGGCATTGGTAGAAACTTCGAATTGCATTGAAACTTTAACATTAAAAGCATGGAAAGATTCGTTGAAAATTATCAACGCCATATTGAAATATGATCAAGATTACTTTTTTCACTTTAAAGCACCGAAATATAAGAAAAAAGATAGAAAAATACATAAGATATTAATGGTATTTAATAAATTATCACCATAAAAGCAGAATAAATGAGAAATATGTTATTTTAATTCGTACCTATATCGGCAAAATAGACTATAAATTTTCAGCTTACGCATTTCTGAAGACAATGTGGAAATGATGTCAAAAATCATGACTCCGGTCTTCTTTTCAACTTTGTCTTCTGTTTTTTGTATTTTTAATACCTAATACACAATTTAATATAATATTTTAATACTATTCAAGGCGATGCAAGCGTCGAGGCCGCTTCACATATCCAAACTGCGAATGATCTCGCAGTCGAGCGCAGAAAACGAATGAACTGCGCCCTATAGAAAAAACGAGGAACTAAATTTGTAGTCTGGTTTACCTTTTTGACATATTTCGCGAGTAAAAAATGAACGAAATCGTAGTTCTCCAATTTCTTCTACCTGGAGGCTTGTAAATCGTCCCCTGGGTGCTTGTTTTGCTCTATTCGACCCAAAGAATGTTAATCTGGTACCTATTTGGACATACGCTTCGCTACTTTCCTGACCGTCGACAGACATCAATTTCAATATTTTATAACTTTTTGACTATTTAGTAGGTAATATAAAGACCAAACTAACATTCTTTAGAGCCTCCTAAACACGCCCCTCAAATTTCTTTACAATCTGTTCAATAAAGACGACGTAATTTCAGAACTCGTTTCTAGGGGTTTTTCTAGGGACTGTCTTTGAGTTTTCATCGCTTGCATCACCTTAAGTTTTTAATCTTCCTAAGTAGGATGTAATAATATGTAACTTTTTATCCTTTTTGGCGAACGAAATAAAATGTTAGTACGTAATCGTATGTTACTTAATAATTACATACCTTTTTAATAAGTGGTAGTTTAACGAATCGTGGAGTGGTGTAGTTAAAGAGCAACGAACTGAATGTTATCGAGTTCGTTCACCTGTTACGTCGCTGATGATTTAATAAAACCATCAGTCGTTCAGTTTCATTGATTTCTCGAATCGATTAGTCTAAACCCTTTTAATAAAAATGGCTGCTACGAAATGCGCATGTCAAGCGGTTTTTTGGTGTTGATAAACAAAGAAAATTGAGCAAACGCGTGTTCCAGTTATCTATTAATCGTCGGCATTGTTTGTCGGCGCGTCGTCGGCATTGAATAACAGAAAATTTCGAGACGGTGATAAAAGATTGACAGCTACAACGGAGTGTCAAAACAAAAACGACAACGTCGAACGTGACGTTGAGGTTATGGACAACTTCGTCAAGATAGAAAAAATTGGGGAAGGAACCTATGGGGTGGTTTATAAAGCGAAAGATAAGTTAACCGGAAAACTGGTGGCACTTAAAAAAATTCGTCTTGAGACGTACGTCGTTTTGTAATATTTATATATAAAAATTTGTTACTTTTGAATGCTCATTCTAGGTGATGTGTCGTTTATAAGTACCCTCTATATTAACCGCAAAAAATGGGCATACATTACGTATAACAATAATTTAAAGTTATTAGAATTGGAGCGAAAATGCTTAAATGTATCACACAATGTATTACACATGTAGGATCTATGTTTTCAATATTTCTACCAAATAGCTTTATTATTACTTTGTTGTTTATATATTGTAATTAAAATAGCAAAAACACTTGTCTAATAGACATTTTCCACTCTGTATATAAGAATATATATAGCTGTTTCATTAATCTTAAAATTAAATGTAATTGTATATTGAATGATATTTGTACAAATGTTCTAATGTTTAATGGCTATAATTGGTTTTTATTCACATTAAATTATATAGAATTCTTCATTTATTAACAGATAAATTATGCTGTTTTCACCTGTTTAGTGTTATAAATATTGAATGTTTTATATACTTTCAGAAATACTTATTCCACACAGTAACACACTACATAAGACATTTTAAATATTGTTATTAAATTTATGTATTTATTAGGTATTTAATATGTTATCCTTTTGGAAACTAATATTCTATTTATTATATAAATAATTTGCATGTTTCTAGGGTTATTGGATCATTTCTATGTAATTGTTCTTGTCTTTAACCATGTACATAACTTATCAAGATAATTCAAATTTATTGAGCTTGTGCTTATTATGCATTGCTAACACATCTGCTAACTTACACATTGGGGTCAGCTGAATCTGCAGGGGCCACGTTATACTAAATTTTCGTAGCACCACATTATTCAGCTTGTCCCATTGTGTTATGCTCGCCTGGTTTTTGATTTAAAATCTTTTAATTAATTTAACAAGTATACAAACAGGATTTTCCCTATGTGTTTGTTTTTCAAGCTTATTTGTTTTATTTGATTCAAGTTTACAAAATGTATGGTTCATGTGGCTTAATGGAGATTAAATATTGTCCTTTTCAATGGTTTTATATGTAAATGAATATATGGCAGAATATATGATATTTAGTACTCATATTTTGTATTTGGTTGTTAATTCATGTGAGTAATAAAGAAATATTGATTTGTATTAGGGAAAGTGAAGGTGTTCCATCCACTGCTATTCGAGAAATATCATTATTAAGGGAACTTACACATCCAAATATTGTTCAATTATTTGATGTAGTAGATGGTGATAATCATCTCTACCTTGTCTTTGAATTCTTGCAACAAGATTTGAAAAAATTATTAGATTTTGTTAAAGGAGGATTAGATCAGGCTCTTGTAAAGGTATTCCTCTCAAAAGTCAAGATTCAAATTAGGTGTATGCATTGTTCAAAGACAAGTCTATTATGTTTACAGAGCTATCTATATCAATTATTGAAAGCAATATCGTTCTGCCATCTTCGGTGCATTTTGCACCGAGATCTAAAGCCACAGAATCTGTTAATAGATCGGGAGGGTCATATAAAATTGGCAGATTTTGGTTTAGCCAGAACTTTTGGTGTTCCTGTTCGTACATACACACATGAAATAGTAACATTATGGTATAGAGCACCAGAAATACTTTTAGGAACGAAATTTTATTCTAATGCCGTGGATGTTTGGAGTCTTGGTTGTATATTTGCAGAAATGGTACGTTAATTTCAATATTCATCATATACTATTGTTATACCAGCGATAAATAATTCTAGAACGTGATCCAATTAATAATAATTTTAATTTTTCAAAATAGTAATATTATTCTCATAGGCAACCAGAAGAGCTCTGTTCCCGGGTGATTCAGAAATAGATCAACTGTTTAGGATATTTCGTACATTAGGTACACCTGACGAGAGCATTTGGCCAGGAGTGTCACAGCTACGCGATTACACATCAATGTTTCCGAGATGGGAACCTCGGTGTTTAGATGAAGTTGTACCTTCCTTTGATTCTGATGCCAAAGACTTACTTTTGGTAAGAGTGATACTTCATAATTAACAATGAATTACTCTTTACTTATAGCAGTTTTAATTACTTCTTGTTTTAACAGAAACTCTTGACTTATGATCCCAGTCAAAGGATAACAGCAAAGAAAGCATTAAGTCATTCTTACTTTAATGGAGTTACATTAGTTCCACCACCATTGCCAAAGAAAAACTGATATAGCTAAACAGGATGGGTCATAAGATATGTAATTTGAAATATTTCTGGTATCCTTAATATTAATAAAAAAATTCAAAATATTAATATTTTGATTTCAAAAAAATGTATCATATGACTATTTAATTATGAATGTAAATAATATTACTGCTTCTCCCCAAAATACATCACAGTATTAAATTTTACTGTAATAAAATAATTAATTCGTTTATTTATGTAGAACAACAGAAATATTTCGGATGAATATAATTCGTGACCCGTACTATACTGTCCCTTAATTTACCTTGTTTCATAGTTCTCATTTCACAACAGCACAAAACTGCCAATAATATAATTATTAAAGTCAAATATATTTGGAATCTCTTATTAAAACGTACTTCCAATTTTAACACATCGAAAATGTATATGCAATAAAGGTCTATTTTGCTATGTACATCAAGAACTATCTATGCATTGTTATTACCTTAGAAATTTCTATATTCCATATCTCGAATATACATTCGTAATTCTTACGAATAATGTATGATTTTAATTTCAATTCGAATGGATTTATAAATAAGTAATCGTAAAGGTTCCAGTTAGAAAACAATATTTTTCAATATTTTGCATTAAAATCAACAAAACTGTATTTTGTGATGTTATGTGCAGTAAATATTATTATGATGTACTATTTACATATTGTTAAACTCGTTTCATACATAGTAATATATTTGGTATACGTGTACAAATATAATTAAAAAGAATAAATTGTTCACAGGATATTTCATAAATTGCAAAGATTTTAAACGAAAATCATTTGTTAATACAAAATTTTCATAATTAATTTTATTCGATATATTTCATTAAAATTTAATAATGAGGCTTACTTTGTCGTATACTTCGTTTCATATTTTTACCGATAATTTACAATTTACGAAACATCGTGTACTTGAAATTATGTATATACTGAATAAATTATTAATATCCCAAACTTCTCAACCTCTTTCATAATATCATCTTTGAGATAAAAGATGCGAGGTTGCGACCGAATGAACTTCGTTAGAAAGAAATTGGCTTGCAAGTGCTTCAAGCCATTACTTTCTTCATGGCGTTTTGATTATTCTTACAGTCATTTACAATTACGTAAAGCAGCTCTACACTCGTCAATACAATATAAAATTATTAACTAGAAAGTGCATACTTATATTAACTTATCCTTACACTCGTACCAATCATTTCCTTAAATTCATTCTATGTGGAAAAAGGAACTGATTCAGAATTTGAAATTTCTAATTTATTGATAAGTAAATTCGTGAAGACCTGATAGACTTATTTAACTTCCACTCAGCAGACTCCAGGTTAAAGAAAATATTGCTTACAGAAGCAACAATGTAATTAGTATCAAAATACGGTATACAGGATGTCCCATGAATCTGGGCCATGCTATAGATTTAAAACGACAGAAAGTAGACAACAATCTTTTGGAATATCGTACTTCCCTTGGCACCAATCGCTGAATCCGCTCCTGAAACGAAATTTACAAAATAAACAAAATAAAAGTTTTCTGGTATCCAAATAGACCCAGAGTCCGCTGTGGTGTATCAGGTGCTACTCCGTGCTGCCTCTAAGTAATTAATTAAAAAAAAAAAATTAATGTGCGACGCTCAGTTTCGGCAAACTGAGTTTAGAACGCGTCTCGTTAGTCGAGGTAACTTCCTGTGGCGTGGGTGAAGGTGCTAGTTTTGGAAGTCGTAATTCTTTTGGGGATGCTTTGCCGGAGGGACGAGGAGAAACTTTCTCAGGACTGCTCAATCGAGAACTATTAGAAGAAGCAGGTGATTTTGGTGTTTTATCGTCTGGACTTTTTAATCGAGGACTATTAGGAGAACGAGGGGTAGCAGGTGATTTTACCGTTTTATCCTCGGGACTCTTTGATTGAGAATTATTTGGAGACTGTGGAGGTACAGGTGATTTTGGTATTTTATCCTCTGGAGTTTTTAATCGAGGACTAGGTGATTTTGTCACTTTGTCTTCTGGACTTTTTACTCGAGGACTGTTAGGAGATCTCACAGTTCCAGCTGATTTTACCATTTTGTCTTCAGGACTTTTTGACTGAAAATCAGTTGGAGATTGTGGAGGTACAGGTGACTTTGTCATTTTATCCTCTGGGCTCTTTGATTGAGGATTGTTTGGAGATTGTGGAGGTACAGGTGATTTTGTCATTTTATCCTCTGGGCTGTTTGATTGAGGATTGTTTGGAGATTGTGGAGGTACAGGAGATTTTACCATTTTATCTTCTGGACTTTTCACTCGGGGACTATTAGATCTTGGAGTACTAGGTGATTTTACTGTTTTGTCTTTTATATTTCTATCCTCCACAGTGGGACTTTTCTTGCTTCCTCTTTCCACCTCCATTGTTTCAGGAGATGTTAGATTCTTTCTAGACCCTGCAGAATCTGGAGATTTGGCCAAGCCACTTCTAATTGCTCTAGGGGTCACTATGGAGGAGGATGATGATAGGTTTTGGGCCTTTGTCGGAGTACTTGGTGGCGGTTGTGGCGATTCATCTTTCGTTTGTTCAGTTGAAGGATTGATTTCTTCGTCATCTTGAACCTGTAAAATACAAATTAATGTTAGTATAGGAAACATGGAGAAGCATTTGCTGGCTTAGATCAGTGAAATGCAAATTAATTACACACTCATTAAGATATTCTTCATATCGTATATGATACAGGTCTTGCAAGTAGTATAAGTAAATCATTGCTCCTCCATATTTAAGAATATCTTATACCATACTCTTATGAGTTATAATAACTCAATTTTTTTTTAAATAGACGATTATATTATCTTTTACAATTGAATTTGATCGGTTAATTGTTACTTTTTAATACTATAAATTATAAATAGTGCGAAGACTGACCTTGATTTACAGAGGCGGTGATTAGCGATGCTTCTGTGTCCACCGAGTGTAATTTGTGAAGGTGAGGTACACGCTGTGCTTATTAATCCACGCAACTGAAGATAATTTACTAAACGTATCTAATACTTTAGGAGAGAAAAGTTAAAGTGGGATCTGTTTTTCGTTGAAAAATTTAGCATTAGCTGTTGGAGCTAAATCTACCATTAAATATGTGCTTTCAAATTAACGCTTATTATGTGCCAAATGTTACTACTCGTTGTTTATTGAAATAAAAAAAAGGCCATAATAAAATTGTGCATTAAAGTGACGTTATTTGAAATAGCATATTTTAAAGAAAACATTTGTGAAATATTTATACAAAGATTTCGCAGCTCTATAAAACCTATACGACGATTTTTGTTGTATCTTGTAAAAGACTGAAGTATCTTTAATAAATAATGTTTTATGGTTGTGATAATGTTAATTTAAGAATGCATTTTATATTATAGATCTTATAATATTCGTTCTCTTTTTATATTATCACATTGTGTATGGTGTTTTTTTTTTAATTTCCTTTTAAAATATATAAAGTTAAAGTTGCCATTTACATTATTTTTTTTAATTTTTTAGAATTAGGATTTGTTTCATTTTAGATTTTAATTTTCAAATGTTACTTATTTCAGAATTTTTATTATTAAAAGCTACCACCAATTTAACCAAAGTATTTTGTAATCCATACACAATGAGTTAACACATTTATTTAAACTATATATTTAAAGAATGTACTGTAACTAATATTCTATCATTTTGTGTAACGAATATATCAAACCTCTTATTTGAAAAAATGATCTGTCAGTTGAAACAGAAATGGATGCAACTGGGTTCAATAAAAAATGCCCGTAGTATTAATTTAAAAACAAAAATATTATTATAATAGCTCTTTTGTTAATTCTGACAGGTATGCCGAATATTCGTTATACAATTGCATTCGTACGAAGTTTTACAACGATTTCAAATATTACATACTTAATTAATCGTCGCCGAATGTCGGATGGTTAATTATAATCCACCAGTATGGAAGCAGTAAACTAGAAGTAATATGTATTACATACTTTCTTAGCGTAGATTTGCATGAATTCATCAAAAGTGACATGACATTGTGAGAAAGTGAGTTTCGCACGATGTCACTGATTTCCATCCCTTTATTCACCATTCTTCCATAATTAATTCTCATTTTTCAACTGACTGTATCAGCGATAAGACCTAACTATTTATTTCTCGTGTATGCAACAAACAGGTATAGTTTTACGTATCTACAAGTAACGATTATGAATTGATCGTGCTACATTTGCTGACGTTTGCACGGACTGATAACTATTTATTATGGCTGATGATAGTTTAGAATCTAAGCCTTAGATGTTGAAGAAATTCCAAAGTATCACGAAATATGGGATACCATGTTCGTTGACATAGTGTCTACATCGGGTCTAAATACAATATGAAATGTATCGCGTGAATTTTCTTTTTTCACTCGAAAAAAGATAATCACTTGAATATGATCACGCGTCATAATTCTCTATTACAGCTTCCGGTTCTTCTGCATCGTCAAATTGAATTTTTCTACTGATCTATGTAGAAGAAAATTCATTTCATGAGATAAGTTACGTTACGAGTTTCATATGATAATTACGTATGTTAATTTAGTTTTCCGATTTATTTGCAATTTAAAAATAAGTAACATCCATCACTGGAATGTCATTTTAATATCCACGTTTCTCTTCCATCGATAATAGTTTTTAATCAACGTGTATTTTAACCAACGTAATATAAATGTATGCTCTACATACATTTTCAACAAAAATTTTAATGAACAAATTGTTTTATTCTCAAATTTTCAGTTCTTTCTTCATTTATCATTTAACGATAAAATGTAACTGTCGTTATTTTCAATTACTCAATGTGTTTATGCAACATCCTTCATATGTTTGTTATTATAATAAACATCAAAGTGAGTTTAGAATAGTAAGATTGAAAATCATACGCGTTAGCATGTTTGTTTAATTTTCATCTCACTATTCTAAATATGAAATGGGTGATTTTTAATTCGGGAGTAGGCGAGTTCAGATAAACCTCTAAATGTTTACGAACTTCTATTGTTACAATGTATATATAATTACAATAATTCTAATAGTTTCTTATTTTTCATTGAATATCAAAGAAATATGTTGATAACTAACCACTGATTTTTATAAGCGTTGTTTGCAGTATTTGTAATTAACACGTTAACAGCCACCCTGCATCCCCACAATATTTTAATATTTCTAATTAAATAAATAAAAGAATTTTTAATATTAAAAGTGATGATCAATCAAATGTCATTCAAATATGACAATCAACGTGTTAATATTAATAATCCAAAATGTTACTCTTTTATTTTATTTTTTATTTTTACTGCTACAACACATTCAAAGCTTCCTGTTAGTACAATAATCAGCCATTTCCAAGACAGCCTAAAAATCACGTTACATCTCGTAGGTTTAACAAAAATACACCTACTCTCGGCCACGATAAATCGCAATGCTAATCGATTTGAACAATGAGTCCTCTATTATGTTATTCGTACGTATTATTTCTATTTGTCCTGTTGGGATCGTATTCTAAAAAACGATCACGAAAAATGAGAATTCGCTTGTTTTTGACTTAAGCGTATCACGTTATCGCGTCTACCTTTCAGACCAGAAAAATCACACCGGAAGTATCTCCAGTCTTAAATGCATCTTAATGCGATTCTACAGTATATAGCAAACAATTGCTTAGCGTTTTGCATAACATTTTAGCAAAGGAAGTCTTCTTTTCCTTTCTTCTTACATTCTAACGTTTGAGTTCGCGACAAAATGTCATTCTTATAAAAATTTCACGCTAACCGTGAGCGAGTTTGCGCTATGTGTAATGAAGATGATTAGTGTTCGTTTGGAATTGTACGAAAATTCTTCGACGGTTATTTTTTCGATCTGAAAAGGTATCGCGAACTGTCCCCTTTCGTGCCAACAAAATTATTTTGCGCAACACGTTGAATGCCGCACGAAATTGAATGTTTTCAAATGGATGGATGGTGAAAAATTAGACTTTAATATTTGATTAGTCAAAATTCAGATTGAACGCGTGCAATTTAGATTTCCCTTCTTTAAGGGAAAAAATATTCTATCATATATGGTTTTTAGGAGGATTTAAATTAGTCTCTCCCTGGTTTCCTCTAGGATCACCCTAGAATTTCCCCAAAATCCCCAAAGTTATAAGGCAAATGATGGAAAAAATACTTCTCAGGACCTAACGACAAATTCTTCGTAGCTGTAATATAATAAAATCGTAAATTAAAGCATTCAAAACCCTAAAAACTCAGGACCTTAAACTGATCAATACTTTAATCATGACTTCGCCGTATTGAGCATGCCATCTTATGACGACACCCGTTCGTCGCGCTTGCCATCTTATGATGCCATCAGTGCTGACAATGCTAACCAAAAGAAGCCTATATTGCACCGAAGTCGAACCGAAGAACACCATTTTATCCACCTAATTAAAGATGTACCATCGCGGCACTCAACGTGTTAACAACCGTCCCGACGACCCTCCGTTCTTCACCCTATCCTCTATCAACTTTCATGATACATTCGAAAACAATCGACGTCGTGACGAGTGTTCTGCAGATAAATGCGTGAAAAAAAGAATCATTTGCCGTGGATATAATCGATCGGAAAGACGTAAATGTATGAGAAAAAAAGGTGTCCCCTCGTTTCCTCGATCAAGTTCCTTCGTATGGCACGTATATTACGGAATCTTCTGGTTATTGCTGATACGAAGCAACAATGGGATAAAGCTAACCGATCGATCTGGCCACGATTGTTGAATTTATTATTAAACCTGTGTCCAACTCGTCCCTCGTACGTTCGATTCAAAAGCCCTCCGATTCAATAATCGGGGTTAGAAATGTACGAGGCGATTAATCAGACGCAAGTGATAAGGAAAAAATCGGGTCTAGCGGTCGAGTTTGTTTTTTTTTCTTTTTTTTTTCATTCGTGATCTAGCATTCCTGGTTGAGGTTCTCGTCCGAAGTAGGCAGGCCATTCTTACCGGAGGCGACCGTGCCAGGGGGCACAGGGCTCTGCGGGCACAATACACAGGATTAAGGTGGCCCATTAACCACTGCGTTACAACCTAGGAAGGTCATGCTAGTCTGGGTCACGTTAACCCTTTGAAGCATCTAGCTTTTCTGCTGTTCGTGCAGAACGGAACGGAAATACACTATCCATCATCGATTCGTCACTGGGGTCAGTCGAAAGCGCATAGGGTGTAGGTGATAATTTATGACTGACTCGTTATTTCATTAAATAGCAAAAATATCGTGCTAGAAAGTATAAAAGCAATTAAAAATATGCCTCAAAGGGTTAAGAGACTGTTACATTTATTAATCTAAATGGAAAAATTTCATTTATATTTATGAATGTATATTGTCTCGTGTCGAATAGATTCACTTTTCCCTTAAACGTATATAAAAAATGATTTTGTTTTAAGTATTCATTAAATCTACTATTTTCCTCTTGAACCGTAACTATCGCACAAAACATTGCTGAGAAGCATGCGACGCGTGTTTTCAAGCGCTTTCGGTGGTAAACAGTGCATAAATAAGTGGTACAACGAGGAATCTCGAGAAAAAGGTCGTAATTTTCAAGTATTGTTAATCGAATAACACAATTTACCACAATTTATCAAAAAATAGTTAATTATATTTTTTGTAACACATGTAAAAAGAATGTAATGAAAACTTGAATTGTGCACACGGGTTGAATTTTATATTCAAAGGTACAATAATTTTTATTCTTTTTTTTTTTTTAGAAACGAAATAACTAATTCTCGAGATTCTTTTGAACAAGACATACCTGTGATCCACTGCCACTGAGACTTTCTACGTTTGATCCAGTTTGTCGAAGATAATCTCGGTCGTTGAAGATCTTTTTATCACCACCCCCAGGCTTATGCTTCACGTTATCCATGGATCCAATTTTACTCTCAGCTTTGATATCAATTTTCTGTGTCTGAATCTGAAAAGAGTAATAACGTTCATTACTTCTTACGATTTTCTTCTTTCCAAAGGTACAGCTACTAGAATCCATAATTTCAAATGATTTTAAAAAAATAATATTGTATGAATATGAAACAATTTATGAATGAAAAATTCTCTTATTAATTGACAAATTTTCTTTTAGAAGTTGAAATTCTATTTCCAATAGATTTCGTGTGTTTTCTAATCTAGGTTCGATTTTGCCACATAAAAAGATCACCCATTCGTGATACGAACATTTATACTAAATTTGAAACATGCAGAACATGCTTTAATCTTTCCGAGATTAAATCTACTTACTCGACGAACTTACTGTGAACGAAGAACGGACAAATTTTCATGAACTTACTTTGCTTTGCCACAAAAGCAACGGAGTATTAGTTTAAACGGTCACGAAGTTAGTTTTTAGTCATATTGATTAATCACTCCATTAACGATTTGCAATTCATTGATTTAAATAATGTTCTGAGTATGTGTTGTAATGACCAAAATGAATCTCTTAACGTAGTAATGAAGATACAAATATATATGGAAGGATAATTAACATTTAAACAATTGTTGACCGATTATGAAACAAATATTTTATATTTTGTTACTGTAATTGGAATTATTTTCATTTTAAACGATTGCTTAAATAACATTTGTATAATGTTGAAAGTAATCGGTCAACAATGTGTGAAATGAATGTTTCATGAAATTTCTTGACATACTTACGTCGTTGTTCGTTTCCTGCGGCGTCTTAGGTGGCGTTGCCGATGACTGAATATCAACAAACAACAATGACTTATTAATAATGATAAGTGACAATACATGCGTACAAAAGAGGAATGCGTGTTTTGTACATCTGAAGAGATTCAGAAACTTTTCCATCATCTACAGGATACATGTTCCAAAAGAAAAATGAAATATCTATTATATCTTCAAAGAAATAAATATTTTTCATTAAAAAAATGTTCAATAGCATATAGAATTATTTAATAATTAAATTTCTCTCGATGCTAAAATGAAACACTAATCTTTGAACTAAATAACATATGAGACGTAAATGCGAATCTACGTTGACATTCTACATGCAACGATGCAATCAATAACAAAATATAAATGTTCTCTAATTTATCAAAGTTCTATTCCCGTGGTGTACGAACGAAATGAGCACTAGGTTACTGTCATGAACAAAGCAGGTGTTTAATAATAAATGATTCATCGCCACATTAAATGAGCACTATAAATGTCAGTGAAATTAAACGAAAACGTAACAATTTATTTAACAAAAACTGATGAACGCTTAGATATGGAAATTGGGCTTTATAAGTATACTTGTTTTAACGTTTGAATAATTAGTTACAGAAATGATAAGAATGAAAATGTAGGGACTATGACAAGTAGTAACATTGTAGAATATTGTATAAATTATTATTAAAATAACTGTAAACCGCACGCAAGCGAACTCGTAAATAATAATAAAATACTATCAGTTAAATTCTGAAACTATAAAACAAAATGTTTAAACGCAGATAAAAGATTAATAGAAGTTATCTAAAAATATTCAAGCACGATACTTTCTCATTATCTCAAAAAATAATAGATAACCGACCTGGTAAATATTTTATACAAAATTGTTTATTAATATTGGAATAAAAAGTACGAATTATATTTTTAAGGAATATTCATATTTGGGTTGAAATAATAAGAAAGTATCTTCAGCACTCATTCAAATATATAGATAAATATTTTTAAATTAATTGAAAATGAGATTCTTACTTTAACGCTGCCACCTCCGGGGACGTGTTTAGCGTTGTCTTTGGAGCCGACTTTCGGTTTTGCCTTATCTTTGAAATCGAGCTTCACAGTCTCTATTTTCTTATCACCACCCCCAGGTTTGTACGTCGCGTTCTCCAACGACCCAACCTTCGGTTTCGCGTTCCACTGAAGTTTCACTTGAGCGATCTGCGATGAATTTCCAAGAGAATATATAAATACTATTAAATTGAATTGAAATCTATAAATCTATAAATAGCCCGGTTTTATACTTTCAATCGATTTTGTACAGAAAAACAAGTCCATGTTTTGTATAAATATCTGTAGATATAACAGCGAAGGAAAAGCAAATAAAATCCACATTAATGAGAGCTTTTAGTCATTAACATTGTGCCCTACATTCATCGCACAAAGACGATCCTACATTTTCTAAAGTGTTCCATATTATTTGTCCGTCACATTGTATTCGTCAAAAGTGGGTTTAAAAGCTTTGTAGAAAAATAAAGGTAAAATATATATTACACTACTACTATTTAACCTTTTTATCGCCACCACTAGGTGTGTACTTCTCATTTTTCGCTGCGATTTTCGGCTGCGCCTTGCTGAAGTCCAACTTCCTGTTCTCTATTTTCACCTTTCCACCCCCTGGCTTGTAGCTCGCATTTTCCAGTGAGCCGATCTTCGATCTTACCGTTTTCAAATTTGGAGACGGTGCTGAACCCACTTGAACTTTGTTCATAGGCAGCTCTGTGCGATTCAACAGAAACTATTGCATCAGTTTATGAAATGATTATTTTTTAATAATATAAAAAAAGGCTGTTTGTGATCTGCATATTGTACTTTAGAATGAATTCAATTTAATATTCATTTAATTAAAAAAAAGTACTGTGTAATAAATTATTGTATTTCTAAACGTATACTTATTTTACAAAATTAATGTTTGTTCGATTGTAAAAATAGTTCCTTACTTTTTTTTTCTTGGCCACCTGTCGATGACGGAGTTTCCGGAGTTCGTGGCAAAGATTTGACAGATTTGCTTGGCGATTTCACAGGCGATCCAGCTGTTGATTTTTTCTCCGAGTTTGATACACTACCATTTTCAATTTCTGCAAAGCAATAAAAACAACGCTGTAATATTTATCATATATTTCAACGATTCCAAAAAAGTATCACCGTTGAATTTACGAAGCAAAATCTTAATATTTCAATAACGAATCGAGCCGAAACAAAAACAGTATAATACATCCATCTCAAAATTTACTATAAAAACACCGTCAAAAATAAAATTTCATATTTTTCATCTTTCTTTTTTCTATAACAAAACTATACACTTCTTATACAAATTTCTCGTTAAAGTTAAATAAAAACCTGCTGTTCTCGAAGACTTCTTCTCTGACTTTTCGCCCAATTTAGTAAGCGTCGCGACGCCTTGAATCTTAGGCGCCAGTGATTTCAAATTTTTCAATTCACTCGTCCTCTTAGAATCCTTCTTCTCATTAACGTAAGTATCCTGCTTCTTCTCGTCGTCGTCCAATTTCTCATCCTCTTTAATTGATTTCGGTGATTTAGGCGACACAGGTGACTGAGGTGTACAAGATGGCGACGATTTGACCGACAACGATCTTGGTTGACCGTGATCGAATCCTTTCACGCTTCCCTCAGGAGTTTTAGGCGGAGACAACACTGATTCTGGCACATTTTCAGAATCCAATAAAACAGAAGTCTTTTGATTTGTTTCTTCAGGTTCTGATGCATTTTGTGCATTTGAGTCTTCAGTTACAGATTTATTACTAGTAGCAGAACTAGGTTTCGAGTCCTCTTTCAATTCCTTTGTATCTGATGACTTCTTTTCTTCAGATTTTTCCAATTCCTGCTCATTCTGAGTATTTTTAACTTCAGTTTTCAAACTTTCAGTCGGTTTATCCGACTCTTTGGACACTGTATTCGTTTCTTCCTCATTTTGACTATCCTTTTTCACCTCTGCTGGAGCCACATCCGATTTACTTTCTGATTCACCTTTAATCTCCTTCTTTTCCAACGATTTTTCATTTTTCTCTTCATTTTGAACCTTCGATTCCTCTTCTTTTCGAGTTTCCTGCATTTCTTCCTGAGATTTATCTGATATCTTCGAATCCTCTTTAACTTGATCCACTTCCACTGAAATACTGGCAGGAGACTTGGACTGTGCTTTTAATTCCTCTTCATTTTTAATCTGACTACTTTCTATCATACGCGATTTATCCTCGGATTTGGACGGTGTCTTTGATTGCTGTTCAATTTCCATCTCGTTCGTATCTCCTGGTGTACTCGCTCTTGATTTATCCGCAAACTTAGGTGTCTTCGCTTCCTGTTGATCCTGATTCTGATTCGTATCTCCTGGTGTACTCGCTCTTGATTTATCCGCAGACTTAGGTGTCTTCGCTTCCTGTTGATCCTGATTCTGATTCGTATCCCCTGGTGTACTCGCTCTTGATTTATCCGCAGACTTAGAAGGTGTCTTCAGTTGATTCTGATTTTGATTCGTCTCTGCAGGTGAACTCGCCCTTGATTTATCCGGTGTCTTAGGTTCCTCTTGATTTTGAGGCAGGATCACATCCGGTGTACTTCCTCGCAATTTATCCGGAGTCGGTGATGATACACTTAATTTCTGCTCATTTTGACCCTGATTTACAGGTTCACCAAACAAGGGCTCTTTATTTAAATCTTTATCGATCACTTTGTCTTCCACTAATTTCTTCGTTGTTTCTTCAGGCTTATCATCAACTTTCTCAATTTCATTCTTATTTGCAGATCCTTTGCGTTGATCTTTCTCATCAGGTTTTGGTGATAATCTAATGTCAGTTCCTATTACATTAGAATCTTTAATAGATTCCTCCGTGTTTCCAGTTTTGGAGGGCACGGTAATATCACCATTCTTTTCGTTACCTCTTTCAGTCTTATCGTCCATCTTTCCATTAATGGTAGCAGTTTCCGGCCTCTTCATCGACTGGACATCCTCCTTCTTCGGGAGTTTACATTCCTGTTCGCCGTTGGTACGAGGCGATTTCTTCTCGTCCATGACCACATCGTCGTCGTCGTCTTCCATGGTTTCGCGTTGCTCGGTTCTCGAGACTGAATTTTCAAACTGCTGAAACTTCTTCGCGTTATCAACATCGGCCATTTTGTCGATTACTATTCGAGGAATTGTGGATTCCTTATTGGATGGACCTTGCTGGACTACGTTCAACGACGATTCATTTCGTTGCAATTGTTTGGGGATGTTCCCTTGGGATCGGGACGGAACTTGCTGAGGGATGTTTTGTTGATCCTGTCTTGGTTGCCGAGGTTGTTGGACGTTTCTTTGGAACTGTTGATTATTTCCAGGAGGTCTGGGACCTTGTTGCGGCCCTGGACGTTGTAACGGAGATGTAACGAATCGTGGATTTAAAACAATGTGGGGAGTCTGACCCTGTTGAGGGGGATTTTGACCTTGTGGAGGATGTTGACCTCGCGGTGCTGACAAATTTTGACTTTGTGGAGGATACTGGTTTAACTGTCCTGGATTTTGACTTCTTTGTAAAGGATATTGGTTTTGGGGGGGATTTTGACTTTGTTGTGGAGGATGTTGGCCTTGTGGTGGACGATTTTGATTTTGTTGGGGAGGATATTGGGCTAGGGGTGGTCGATTCTGTTGTTGCGAAAGATATTGTGGAGGACCTTGACTTTGGGGTGATGGATGCTGACCCTGTTGTGGTCGACTTTGACTTTGTTGTAAAGGATGTTGGCCTTGTGATAGATTCTGACTTTGTTGCAAAGGATATTGTCCTATTTGAACTAGATTCTGCCCTTGCTGTGATTGATATTGACCTTGTGACAAATTCTGATTTCTTTGCGGTGCTGGTGGATTTTGATTTTGTTGTCGCTGATTATAACCCAGTTGCCCTGGATTTGGACCTCTTTGAGATTGTTGCGATTGACTTAGACCTGGTTGCGGTGACCTTGGAGAAAATGATCCTCCCGATGGATTTTGAGGACCGTACGGTCTAGGCAGTCCAAATTGACCCGGTCCAGACGATTGAATTTGTTGCGGCTGTCCTGGTCTTGGTTGTCCTATAGGACCATTATTTATAGGGTGTCTTGGTAATCCAGCTGGACCTTGCGGTCTCGTCCGAAAGTCTGATGGCAATTGCTGGTTTGATTTTACCTAGGAAACAAGAACCTTTCTTACGAAAAATTCGCGAATTAAATAATTAACTTTGATTTAAAAAAAAGGTGCTCTAAAAGTTAACCATCTAGGTTGAAGATTTTTATTCATTTATATTCTGAGAGAAGGGTTTATCACATTTATTTGTGGAACGAGGGATTGATACGAATGGAAAGTTGAAGTGTATAGGAGTAATTTGGATAGCCGATATTGGCCCTGAGCCCATCGAACAGTATAATACAATACGATGACGTCTCGAGGATCCGTGTTCACGGTACCTGCCACCATTCGGCGTTCTACTCGTTATGGGATTAAACCACGAATCATTATTGTAGTGTGCCATCGATGTTCATTCGTTGAGGCATTTTAGACTAGCGTGACCTGCAGCACTACCCTCTCTTCAGGGATTCGCTGTTGACTTTCATTTACCCACGGAATTCATCAGCAAAAATATTTGAAGTGCTCAGCAGTTTGTGTGAACATAATTACGAAAATGAAATTTTTGAAGTAATTAAAGTACACATAGGTGTCTCAATCATTTTCTATTATTTTTAGAAATATCAATAGAGTTAATACAAAAATGTTCCCTGGAATGTTTCTTTTTTTTTTATAAAATTCAAGCTTACCACATTCTCCCCGCGGTACGAAGCAGACTCGGCTGCGTTTCTTGCATTTTTTTCTGAATCCATTCTGAACTAGTTCAGAGACAATCAGATTATTTACGTTTACTCGAAGGTCTCGTCAGCTTTGAAGAAGTATTTCTTCATAAACCTGTTAAGTATCAACGGGGATCGTTGCATCAAAGAGATCATAGAAGTCTACGTAAGTGCTGATACATCCAACGAGTCTACCTTGTGTTTCAATGAACTTTACTTAATGAAAGACGCTACTCTTGAGGCGTGAATCACCAAGTTTGAATGTGTCCGATGTTTCAAGAAGCTTGGTTAATGAATGCTACTTTAGTGATTACGATAATTACGTAAGCTATGTGGTTCTTCTTTGAAATATAAAACATTGATTGCCAGGTTGAAACTATTGAAAATTTTATTGGGTGAAAATAATGATTTTTAGTTGCACCTACAAACTCTCATAAAGAACTTGTAGGTAAAGGTGTTATTTTCTCGACTTGCTTATGGTGCTTGCAACCTTCAATTACAAATTATCGTTCGTTTTACGTGCCAAAAAATACACTACTTGCTAATGTGATTATAGGATTGAAGTTACTTATAGTGTACTTTGGTGCGATTACTACCGTAGTAAATTTCAACGTGTAATGTTTTTCCACAAAAGAAAAATAAATATAGAGAATAGGATTTCAGGAAAATATAATTTGAAACGCGGTATTATTTTACCATAGTTCCAATAATAAAAATTTCACTAACACTAATTCTATTAATTATATCGTCTGTATGGAAACTTTCCCTGACGTTCAGTAATTAAGGGTTCAAGACGCAAAAGGTACACCAGGGAACAGAAAAAGAAGAGGAAAAAAAGTTTTGAGGGTTGAAGAAGATAGAAGGCACGCAAGGAACCCAAGAGTAGAACGCAAAGGGATCATATTTCAATGTAGAACAAAAGCAATCGCTAACCTTGGTAAGTACATTCGTGTTTCTATCACGAAACCATGTCAGCTTCGTGCAAAAGACTAATAATTGAGGTAACGCACATTTGATTCGACTGATTACAGTGTTAGAATGCTTTCTTCGCTCCGAACGTCGAACCGTTTAGTTCTTTTCAAACCTTATTATACATGCAATTCTTTTGCACGCTAGAAGTATACAATACTTGAATAAACAAATACCTGACAGCCTAATTGATCAATTATCACATTAATCAATGTTAAATGAATTATGATTCTTACAACACTAGGTGTTTCACAAATGCAATATTTTTGAATATCAATAAATATATGATATTTTATTAATGTTTTATTTAAACTAGTTTTAATGCTATTAAATTTTTATACAAATTTATTATAATAAATGATATATCATGTTTATTTTAACTTGGAATTGAATAAATCTTGAAAAGTAAAGCACGTGTTTCAACTTCCACAATCTGAATCTAATTAACCCCTAACGCAACATTTCTCATATTTCGATAATATAATCTATAACCTTTTTGTAACCTTCAGACTTACTATCAGAATATCTAATGCGTTTTTTTTTTAAATACCGTGTAGACGAGTTCACGAAAAATATCGTTTATTCTTTTCCACCCCTTCCACACGACCACCCTTGAAATGTGAATACATTCGGGAATTTCGTGTGAATTCAATGTCGACGAACACGTGTCTGGGGTATCTGATGGCCAGAAATAACTGCATCCTTCGAAAACAACTCAATTAACACTGTGGATACTTTGAAAAATTTCATGATAATACAATTTACAACATTTTTAAAATCAAATTCTGTCATCCTGACATGCTTATTAATTATTAGAAGTGTAGAATAATTTCCATCATTTTTAATGCAATTTTCTTTTTTTTTTTAATCAAAATTTAATCTTTAATTTGGACTTATTATTTTCCTCAGTATGCTTATTGAATTTCTCTATAAAATATATAATATTATTATTAATATTAACCTTCACAATCTGGAAATCGTATATACTATTATTAATATTAGGTAACAACGAAAAATCAAGTTCGTTAAGTTAATTTCTGAAAGAAGATCGGAGAAGACTTTCAGGGGACAGACAGAGGTACGTCAAAGACTTCCGTTCCCATTTTGCCCACAGAGAGAGGAAGAAACGGGTCATACACAGGGTGTCTGTACGACTCGGCAAGTGCCCATTCCTGAAGTTATTGATCCGACCCGGTGAGCGTGTTCGACTTCGTCGTCGTTTATGTACACGCGGATGCACATCGTGTAATACGGTTAAGTTAACTTGCTAATGAGTGCACACTTAGTAAAAAGCTCGCGACACCTTCGTGACGACGAGTGTCACGCGTACCATTAACAGATTCGAGTTACCCTGCGTGGATGTCGCGTGAAAAACGTATCGTCAGTGTATTCAACGATCCACGCGAGATACCAAAATCGGATCAGCATTTTTAAATACATCGTTGATGGCTATTTTTACAATTCAATCGATAAAAAATGAGAAAATCTAAATACGATCGCTGAAGGAGCTACTATTTCTTGATTTTGAAACATCAAAGTTCTGACGTGATTTCATGACATAAAAGTGTTGTAAAATGATACTTATACCACGTCAATTTGAAGATTGAAATTTGTAGAATATGATGGTATAAAGGTTTTGTTAAAATTCTGGGTACAAAATGGCCAATTGCCAGCTGGTACAAATAATGGTGTAATATAGAGCTAAGCTTGTCTAATATTCTATTACAGATTTCAATCAGAAATAGATATTGGTATTTTAGTATCTATATAACTAATAAATTCAAATTAGTAATTTTTAAGATACTTTAATCACATGTTTGAAAATTTTTCGCGTTATAGTACAGCGATGCACCCTTCGAGCTACTACCCCCTGTTACCCCTTTTTTTATTTATCAAGTTAAAATGTTCTCAGAATTGATAGTTATCAGGAATATTTCTATTAGTATTTTTATGACTGTGAAAATCTGTCCTTTAGATGAAATTTAGATCAGATCTCGATTCCGCGGTCCTTACTAACCACAGATATTGATCAAATAAAAAGGAGAATAGCCTTTACTGACATGTATCAAGGACAACTACTTCCTCCGGAAATCTGTAAAAGTCCTGATAGTTGTAAATAATGGAAAGGATATGTTGCGTTGTATTGTTTGTACTTTTTATACACTGCTTATCATGGAGGTCATCGGTGACCAGCATGGCAAATTTAACCCCTCGTGCCTGTTTGACGTACGTGCGTACGTCAGTATAAAATTATTGGTCGAGTCGGTTCTCGTCTCTTTTTTTTTCTTACTAACTTTAGAATAGTCGGGTCAATCGTGACCCGGACCTACGAAACATGTACAACGGTGCATCGATTTAAATTAGGGACTGAAATTTCTAAGCAAAATCTAAACAAGCATCATGTTCGTAATAAAAGATTCATTCATTCATTCTAAAACTTTACTTGGGCTATCGAAATAACGACCTAAATGTATAAATTAAGAAATTACGTCATGATATTCTTCGTAATCGTTATTATAGCGTGTCTGACTACGCATGGTCAATTCCACTGTGGCGGTGAACGTGTTAAATAATATCCTGCGAGGGCGCACCCTAATATTACGTTACATTTCATAATTCAATAATATATTCAAATGTTTCTTCTTGAATAAATAATATGGAAATAATAGAGGAATTTTGAATATTATACAGTGTCTTTATTCCTCGGATTCTTTATTTTATCAGTTCAATCTAGAAATTAACAAAAAGATATAGAAAAAGATATATCTTTTCTATCCAATTTTCAGAAATGCAGCTGTTCTGTGTTTCTGCATTTAATCCCGGTTTTACATTGCACGTTTCACGCATAACCGAGGGCAATCACATTCATCAGCCCATAGCCAAAACGTAGGCGGTAGCCATTTCAGATATAAGGTTTAAGGAGAATGAATTTGTCAAACGACCTAGATAACATAACTGGTCGAAGCAGTCGCCAAGTTGGGAAAAAAATTCACGTTCACGTCTCGAACAAAGGCCGTTGATCAAATTTTTTCCGATTCAAACTTTCCACGATGTTAACCTTTCTGTCGATAGCCAAAATGTTCGCAATGGTTTTAGAACTCGATTGCCTACGATGTCCTGTTTGACACTCCTTATTCATTACCCGTCAATTTGAAAGATTCTCGAATGTAAAATGTTAACAAATTCGCATCGTAAACGAAGAACTGTATAAAAAATGTATTAACATATGATATCGTCGGATCTGAGAACTTGTCATCGCCTCGAAATAAACTCGACTACAGGGGAATTATGTTTCCAGGAAAAAGTAAAGCGTGAATCATTTCACGGGGAAACCGTAAGTGACGGATTAATTTGTTTAACAATTCCGACGTGTGT